TTGAAGAGTTTGAAAGTCACTGTTTCACTCTGCTTTTTGTATAAGCTTTGGAAAAAAAAACAAAGACAGTGCAGCCAGAAGAGAGGCCATTTTCAGTTGTGAAAAACACGCAAATAATAGTATGGCTGTGTTGTACAAGGCTGACAGTGAAGCCTGAGAGAAATATTTCTGCATGTGAATAATTTATTCAGAAGAAAGCATGTGTGACATACTGGGAGGAAGATTTTGATTTTTGGCGAGTGCTTTTTGGGTGGTCAAGGTTTGTTTTGGTGCTGTTCAGACCAACAGGTGTCAGCAGCAGTCCCTGTGCTTGGGAGCTGTGGCTGGCCAGATACCTCCTGCTAGTTAAAATGCCTTGTGTGAGTGTACAGATGCAGAAGCAGAGTCCGGAAGAGTTTGTCTGAATGGTGCTTCAGGCAAGGTGATATGCCACCAAATGATGTAGAACACTTGAAACAGCATTCAGGCTGATGGCGGGGTGCTCTCCTGTACAAGCTTGGCACTGCCAGGCCCAGCTAGAAGTGGTTTGAAAGCCTCACACATACTTTTTTTCCCAGGCTGAGCTGCTAAACCAAAAGACGCCTGTAAAAAGGAAGGGTCTGGCTCTATTGCTCACCCTCACTGTGGGTGTGCACGATCTCTGGAGCAAGCACAAAAATCAGTTTCCTCGTGGCATCAGGATTTGGTGTGATTTATAGAAATTACTTAGTGGTAAAATTATGGTCAAGCGTTTGCATCTCTGTTCTACTGCAGATCAGAAGGTGGTTGTTGCAGGGGAAATCTGGGCTGTATTTTCATGTGCCCATATAGGTCAAGGTGGAAATGCTGGTGTGTTTCTGTAATGGTAGCATCCTGTCTTACTTTCGCTAATTGATCTGCAGTTGTTTATCTTCCTGTCTGAAATGTAATCTGATTAATAGCTGTTTCATCTTTGAACAAGAGTTACCATCGGATTGTTTTGGTAGATAGCGTTAACACCGCAGAGACATCGTAGCTCATGCGGTTGTTAAGTCACTTCCAAACCTCTTTGCCTTTCTAGGTATAATGCCGGGCCGGTACAACCAGGACGTAGGACAGACTATTCCGGTCTTTGCTTTTCTCGGTGCCATGGTGGTTCTGGCATTCTTTGTGGTGCAGATCAACAAAGCGAAGAGCAGGCCAAAGAGACGGAAACCTCGAGTGAAACGACCGCAGCTTATGCAACAGGTTCACCCACCAAAGACGCCTTCTGTGTGAAAGCTCTCGCTTGCCAAAGATGACCTCCTTTTACCGGTTGCTTCCCTTGGGCGATCGATTGCTCCCAGTGAAGGTGCAGCGAATGCAGCACTGATCGTACGAGTAATTCGCACCTGACATCATCTCATAGTCTTTGGTTTCTGGAGAGAAAAGAAAAAAAAGGACCTCAGTTGATCGTCTGTACATAAAACTGCAGCTTTAAGCAGCCGAAGCCACCAAAGACTTGAATACTGTTTAAACGGCTGCTTAATCACTACAGATCCCAAGAGGGGGAAAATGGACCTTTTTTTTTAAGCTGACCAAACTAAAATTTATTTGTTTAGAGGCTATTTTCTATATTTATTGTTGGGGAGGGCGGGGGGAAAAGTCACTTTAAGGACCTCTGCTAAGGAAAAACAAGTGCATTTTTTTGGGATGGAATGCAATTTTCTAGAACGGTATTATGCTGAAGAGTATAACGTACACCATGAAAGGAGGGAGGGGGCAAGAGAGACCAGTACAAATCGGTGAGACATACTCCTGCAGTTTATTTTTATAAAGCCAACTACCATGATGTTTTGTAATTTTTGGTCATGATTTCACCGTTGTTGGTGAAGCAGATTTTCAATAAATATGTTATCTATATGAAGCTAAAACAATGAGCTAGATGGTTCTTCCCTCCCACTGCCAGTCACAGAGAGAAAGTCGTTGAGGTGAGACAATTTTCACCTCTCCCCCCCCCCCCCCCCCCCCCATATCTTTGTCCTTAGCTGCACTTTCCTGTGGAGCATTAACAGGGCGGGTAAGACACAAAGGAGACAAACCCTGTCTCCTTTGGTTTGTCCTGCTTTTGAAAGCCTGCGACTTGTTACGGGCTTAAATAAGGACGCGGGCACAAGTTGCCCCCGACCACACAGTGTCAGTTAGCATTGCCTTTGTTGAAATAACTTCTCTTGCAGCGAAGCCACAAGGTTTTCCCAGGCAGCTGCTTTGATCACCACTCCAAATAGAAGTACCTTTTCTCAGGAGGAGCCCAAAGGTGGTGGCTGCCTCTGTCGGTGACCAGAAGCAGTGCCTGTGCAGGGAAGCAGTCTGTACCGGTGAACAGCCCCTGGTGGGCTCCTGGGCAGCTCCCTGGCTCCCGCGCAGCCTTGGGCAGGGCTGGAGGGGGCAAAGGTGCCAGGGACAGCCCCGCTGGGCAGTCTGACCGTACCTGCCCCCTTCGGCGCTCACCCTCACGGGTGGTGGTGGTGGGTCCTGCAGGAGAGAACATTTCTCCATGCAGCCTGTGGCAAACCTTCCAAGAGGTGGCCATGGTCCTGCAAAAAGGATTGGGAAAACCCCTTTTCCTGAACCTGGAGACCTTTCCTCAGCCTGCCTCTTCCCTTCCAAAGATGAGGATGAACTGGAAGAGGCCACATCCTATTGCGGTGCCAGAGCAGGGACCTAGCTTTCACTTTGGAGCCATTAGAAGAAGTTTGTCGGGGCTGAGGGGATGGCCCCAAGGCTGGGCATGTCCAAACGTGCACCCATGCTGACAGGGAGGGGGGTTTGTCCATCTTGCCCGTGGCATCAGGGTCTCTTGTACGACCAATGAGCAAGGGCTCTGCAAGTCATACCCGTTGTGCAAGAGCTGTCAGTAAAGGTGTAAAGTCTCAGTCAGTGGCCAGACCTCAGAAGGGGTTGCAGGCAGCAAAGGGTAATTGTAGCCAGTGCGTTCATTTATCTGAAAGGAGGACTGTCCGTTTGCACCTTTGTACCTTTGACTGTCTTCAGTGATAATGCAGAAAATACATTGGCAGCCCTTTTTCTGTCAAAAAGAAGGGAGGAGGGCACCTGCCAAGGGGACACTGCAGCGGGTAAAGCTGAGAACCCATAAGGGGTTGCAGGCAGCAAAGGGTAATTGTAGCCAGTGCGTTCATTTATCTGAAAGGAGGACTGTCCGTTTGCACCTTTGTACCTTTGACTGTCTTCAGTGATAATGCAGAAAATACATTGGCAGCCCTTTTTCTGTCAAAAAGAAGGGAGGAGGGCACCTGCCAAGGGGACACCGCAGCGGGTAAAGCTGAGAACCCAGGGGGACCCTCAGGTTACAGCTTGCAGCTCAGGGGCTGGAGCACCCAGATAAATGGGAGAAAGGGGGAAAAAATGTAAGTGAGGGAGCCCAGAGCCGAGAAACCCCCTGGGACTGCTGGGCTGGTGTGGGAGGGGGCTGCGTCCCTTGGATTTGAGGCTCTCCCTTCAGAGGGAGCCTGGAAAGCTTTGGTGTCGGTGCTAATGAGGAGGCTCGCTCCTCTCATCGCAGCACTAATGAGAGATTACAGCTCCACCACAGCCTTGAAACCAGAGTCGAGCTGTATCAAAGCGCCAGTCCGAATTAAGAGCCTTTCCCAGCCGCTGGTATTTTACAGCCCAGTGGCCAATTTCTAAATCATAGAGGCCAGTTATTTTCCGAAGCCTTTGGTGTGCAGCTAATGAAGGCCTGGAAGGGCCCTTCTAAATGGTTCTAAGCCCTGCAGGCGGCAGAGATGTAATGGAGGTGGCAGGCACAATTAGCCATCCATAATTCCTCCTAGCAGCTGATTAAAGTCTCTTTATCCGTCTTACCGAGATCAGAAGGGCACATATTTGGGAAATCAAAAATGCATTAGGGGCTGTCAGCTGGCATCGGGGGCCTGTGCCCAGCACCGTGTGTGTGTGTGTCCCCATGTAGGGGATGGACCCCTCGTCCCCGTGGGGTGCAGCCATCTCCATGCGGGTCCCCTGCAGCTTCAGTCCCCCCATCCTGTTATCCTGGCACTCCCTTTCCCTGCACGGAGCAGGGGATGGGATCGGGTGGCTCCTTGCTATGGTCTCCCGAGCGCAGGAGTGCCCCGCTGGGCTTTTTTAGCTCTTTTTTTTTTTTTTGCCTCTTTTGTTTGCCTCTTTGCCTCTTTTTTTTGCCTCTTTTTTTTTTTTTTTTTTAGGTTTTTGGCTGCTGCAGAGACACGGAGGGGTGCTGGCCCCATCCCGCACCCAACAGGTGGTGAAGCATCCACCGGCAATGAAGGGTGCTCGCTTGCAGCCGCCTTCCCTTGCCCTGGGGTGCTCCCAAATACCCCATGATGGGAATTTCATGGATGGGGCGAACGCAAATGAACTGGGGTGGGAGCGGGATAGGGCTTTGCTTGGGTGAGCTC